GATTCGCGTCAAAGTCCACCCCCGGGTAGGGCACCTCCACGCCCACCTTTTTGTAGTAGCTCTTCGGCATTGTGTATGTGGTGTGTATCCTAGTGAATGAATATGGAGTGTCTAGTAAACCAATTTCAATTGACCAAAAGTACTAGTGCCACTTACCAGCAGTAGGTGTTGATGACAGACTGTGGAATGGCGTCACTGCGCAGGCAGTCAATCGGATCGCCCACATACTGTTTGGTGGTGATGATGATGCAGAAGGCGAGCAGGAGGATGACCGTGATCGAGTAGTGAAGCTTGAAGACGTTGTTGTCGATCTGGATCCGGCTGGTCTTGAGCAACGTCTTCAGACTGCGAAACACGTCGAGCATTATGCGTGCGGTTACAGAGGCTATGGTGCTGATGGGAACGACTGCCTGGAGTCAACTGAAGTTTGAAGGCACCAGAGATCGAGAGGAGAAGATTGCCGAAGAATCCTTTCCTCTCTCTCACACTCTCCTAAGATCACTTATTTCAAATATTTGCTGCCCTTGTATCTCCAAGTACAAGTCAGTGCTTGAAGAGCAGCAGAGACAAAGGCAACGGCAGTAGTAGTTGTAGTAAAAGAGGTGGTAATAATAATGACGATGATGGTGACACTGAATGTAAATTATGACAATCGTTTCGCTTCACACATCTGAAGTGCTTGAAATGGAAGTAGTTGTTCCAGGCAACGACAAACGACAGTCGGTGTCGGGCTGCTCGGCGGTGCATTTTGCCACACATTACCGGGCTGATAAAGTGAAAGTGTTGAGTAAATGCTAAAAGCCATCAGCAATCGGTGGTGGTGGTGATGATGGCAACAGCGGCTAAAAAACAATGATCAAGATGAAGAAGAACACTGGCAGTGCAGTGTCTCTACAGAAGAAGACTGTTCGCCTGTTCAAGAGAAATATCGGTTCCGAGTTGGTGAACACACTGCAGCAACACATCAAGTGTCGTCGCCGCTTTTCCAAATAAAAAATGTTTGCCTCTCTACTGCGCTACCACACACTGAAAAAGTTGAGAAGGTCGTCTGCTGAGAAGTGAAGCTTGATTGATACGGGCGTGATGGACTGCTCATTGCCTTCTTCTCCAGGAAAAAGGAGGAAAACGGCAGAATATGTTTTAGAGTTTCAAGTCATGCCCGTCGACTTCTTCGTTCTCGGTGGCCCTTCCCTTCCCTTCACTTCTTCATCAACGTTTTCTCAGCGAAAGCCACCGGCAGATGTGTCGCCTGTGCCACCGCCGCTGAGACAGCCAC